TCTGAAAACAAGATCAAAAAGACTTTTTGGCTGAAATAAGGTTTTAAAACTTGGTTAGGTGGACAGTTTTTGCAGTGTAGGGTTAACTGCAGACCAGTGATGGTTAGTTTTAGAGAAAAAGTCTGGGTTAGGCATAAATAGTTACAAAAATGAATGGAAGTCAATACAAAGTCCTCAGTTTGATGCAAATACAAGGATGTGTGCGTGCATACACGCACTTGTGCACCGTGTTCTGACCCTGGGGTGTTTGTGTGTTTAATGGAGGGAATGGGGTAAAAATAGTGAGTTTTAACATCAGAGTGCAGGAATGTCAGATGTTCCTGTTGTTGTGTTTGATGAGGGGGGGGTCCGTGGATTCCTCAGCAGTGACGCTGCAGCCACAGCAGTTTCCTCAGAAGCAGTTTATTTGCTGCAGCGGCGCGGCTGCTGTCAGGGTAACAACGAGCAGAACTCGGCCCGTGTGTTCGTACGAAGCAACCCGCCGCCCGCTCCTTGTGATGTCACAAGCATTCAGACAGGAAGTGGCGGTCTTTCCTCCTCCTGTTTGTGTCGGACCATGAGGATGGCTTTAACGAGCTTGTTGATGTCATCCCTCGCTCTGAAATTCCCCTCTGGTTTCCTGCCTATCCTGTCTTTGTGTATTCCTGCCGTTCTGTCAGCGTCTGACTGGAACTGCTGGCATTTCCAAACAAAATGACAAAATCCCTGCTGGTTTTCTTTCGTTTTCTCTTCTGTTTGAGCCTGATCAGAATCTGCTCTCTGTGCCCGGCAGGGTCCGGCACGGCGGAGGAAGAACATGACCGAGTTCCTGGGGGAGGCCAACATTCCCAGCCCGGACTCTCTGGGACAGCTGGGTGGCTCTCTGCCCGGCGTCGGGGCCGGACCCGACAGCTGGAAGAACCGCGCCGCCAGCCGCTTCAGCGTCCTGTTCAGCTCCAACGCCGGAGCGGGGCCCTTCGTCAAGGTAACGGCGGGCGGGCTGAGGTGAAGGGAGAGGGCGTGGCGTCTGCTCTAAACAAAGCAGCTATAAACAAAATGTAACTCTGTGGGGAGCTGGTTGCTTTACTGAAACTCTGAGAGCAGTGGCGTCACTGGGCCTATTTTAGGGGGCCTGGAGCCCCCCTACAATATTTTAAAGCCCCCCTAAATTATTTTAGAGTATTTTTTTTACAAAAATTCAATATGATGTGGTCAGGATAAATAACCATTTAATATTTCATTATTAACTAAAATATATGATCATAAATCTGTCAGTTTCCCTTTAATTTATAGTGTACGGTAGAGATCGTCTTTGGTGCATCATTATCCAATCCATTCCGCTTCTCATGAAATCCC